TTGTGGTGTGTTTTTCTTACACTGTTGGTGCATATTGTTAACACTGTTGGTGTATTCTGAAATTCCGACGCACCGCCGCACGGAAAGACCCCGCTGCATTTGAACTTTATTCTATATATATATATATATATATATATATATATATATATATATATATATATATATATATATATATATATATAGTGAAAGGTTCCCGTGCGGTTGTGCGGTTGATTAATGTGCGTGAGATTTGTACTCAATGTACGTGAGTGTTGTGCTTAATGTGCCTGAGATTTGTACTTAATGTGCGTGAATGTGTAAAATGCAGCAGAAAATATGGATGTCAGCTACTTCCCCATCCCCAGTAGCCATTGCCCCCTCCCTGATGATGATGTTGCGGAGGCGGGCTATGGTGGTTAAGAATTATGGGAATAATACAACAGAAATCCACACTTAGCTGGTGTGCAAATTTTTCTGTGCGTGCGTCATCTATATAAACATTCAACTGCACTGAAGGTAGCTGATAATCTAGAATCCATGGCCAAATTGAAGGAAGAAGTAACAAGATGCTTGTGCGTTAATGTGCGTGAGTTTTCTGTTCTGCTTCCTTCTGAGTTCGTAATTCTGAACTACTCACTCACATTAAGCACAAATCTCACGCATATTAACCTTACGCACATTAATCCACCGCACAATACTCAGGCACATTAAGTACAAAACTCACGCATATTAACCTTACGCACATTAAGTACAAATCTCAGGCACATTAAGCACAACACTCACTCACATTAAGTATAAACCTCAGGCACATTAATCCACCGCACAACCGCACGGGAAGCCACAAATGCACCTGATCCCTTCCCTATATATATATATATATATATATATATATATATATATATATATATATATATATATATATGTATATATATATATATATATATATATATATATATATGTATATATATATATATATATATATATATATATATATATATATATATATGTATATATATATATATATATAGGAGCCTCAAGGTTCCCATGTCACTTTTTCACCGATGTGAGAAAAGTGACAAAATTAAGGGGAGCCGAACGTTCGCATCCCCAGATGTTTTTTTTTTAATTTTATTTTTTTATTAAATTATTATTATTATTATTATTATTATTATTATTATTATTATTATTATTATTATTATTATTAAATATATGTATACCATTTAAGTCATTTTACATGTTAATACAGTTATTTTTTCAAATATCTTTTTACCAACCGTTGATATAATTCGTTGGTCAAACTCGCTAATATAATACGCTATTTGCTAACTGCTAACACAATCCGCTAATGCTAACCGCTAACTGCTGATTGCCATACAAGGACATTGTGAGGTAGTTTCTCACTTCAATTTGTTGTGCGATTTAAATACTCTCTTTGTCAACAAATCTCTCAAGTAGTTAATATGATTGGCTTAATTATATATGTTTTTTTTCATGGTATTAATATAATACTAGGTAAATAAATATATAGCATTATTTTGTATTATAATTTTGATATTTAATTAAAAAAATAGTGTACAAAAAATAAAGAGAGAAAAGATAATAGATAATGTAGTGAATATAAGATAAAATTTCAATTTTGGTCCACTGACTATTGTTGTTGTGTTAATTGCAACACTTGACTTTCAAAAATGTTAATTTAGTACCTTGACTATGCAATTTCTATCAATTTTGGTCACGCCGGCCAAATCTCACCGAAAGAATTTAATAGGTCAAATAATGAGGATATTTTAGTCATTTTACCCATTTTCTTTCTTCTCCGATGAGTTTCTCCATTTCCGGCGACGTTCTTCTCCATTTCCGGAAACTTAGTTTCTTTTAACCGCATCGTTTCTTTTAATATGCAAGCCTTTCCATAATTCTGATGAGATGGATCTGCTTAAAGGCAAAGTTATGAGTATAATTAGTATGCCGAACAAAGAATATCAAGTTGCAGCAAATTAAAGTTCTATACCCCTGGCTTGGAAGAGATCATTGATAAGGATCGTCTTCGTGCGACCTGGGCTCATGGTGATAAGAACTAGTTTTCCCCTCGGGGTATACCCCCTCCTTTCCGATGGAAAAAAAAATTAAAGTTCTATACTTGGAATAAGAAATAATTAAGGTGGAGGAATACCCAAAACTTTGGCTAGCTCTGCAAATAGCACATTCATATTATCACGCTTCTGTTTCTCCCTCTCGGCTTTGTGGATTTTTCTAGGAACTTCGCCGGAAATGGAGGAGAACGTCGCCGGAAATGGAGAAGCTCATCGGAGAAGAAAGAAAATAGGTAAAATGATTAAAATACCCTCATTATTTGACCTATTAAATTTTTCCGGTGAGATTTGGCCGGCAATTTGACCGGCGTGACCAAAATTGATAGAAATTGCATAGTTAAGGTACTAAATTAACAGTTTTGAAAGTCAAGTGTTGCAATTAACACAACTCCAATAGTCAGTGGACCAAAATTGAAATTTTCTCTGAATATAATCAATTGATGAATTTGAATGTAAATAATTTTTACATTGGAGAAAAATAAAGACAATATAACTAATGAAATTATTTTTCTTAATTAATTTATTGATAATGGATTTTTTTTTTGAATAATGACATTGTAGGGACAAATGGACAATGTAGCGAATATAATCAATTGATGAATTTTTTTTTTGAAGGTCAATCTTGCGATTGTATTAATGAATCAAAGTCGAAATAGCGTCAGGGGGGATAGCATCCCAGTACATAACTTGATCCTGTGTAAATCAATTGATGAATTTGAATGTAAAGAATTTTTACATTGGAGAAAAATAAAGACAATATAACTAATGAAATTATTTATCTTATTTAATTTATTGATAATGAATATATTTTTTTTTTGAATAAAGACATTTTAGACACGTAATTCTAAATCAAAGAAATGCATATGTATTATTTTTTGTTGTAGCTACTAAATTATTTTTTTTAATTTAATAAGAGTAAAATAGAGTACTAATTATGTTAACTTTGATTGGGAAGAGAGGTTCGAACCTAAGACCTTTCTTATTAAAATCAATGAGTAAGCTAACGTGGAATATAATTTTTAAGGAAACTCTGATTGTAATGTGGTCCGAATATAAAGGGGGTGTATTCAATCATGACTTTTGTATAGTTTTAAAGACTTTTAAAATGATAGATTTTAATAAACTTTGATTGGCTTTCATAGAGTCGTTCAAAACTTTTTAAAATTTTATAAGACTCTATAAAAGTTTATATAAAAAAAACATTTATAGACTTTTATCAACTTCTTATTTTAAAAAATCTACAAAAGTCATTGAAATTCTAAATTCAATACATTCTTACAAACTTTCAATGATTTTGATTCTTATCATTTATAATTTTCTTACAAAACATTTATAATATATCATAAAATTCTTCTTATTATATAGTTCTTCACCCGCATCAACATTCTCAACATTATTATTTTTATCCATAGTATGTTGAGACTTATATGCTAATTACTTATATATATTATTAATAAACATCAACAAAAAAAAAAATATTTCATTAGAAATTCATAACAATATTGAACAATAAAATTTATAATAAAAGAATTTATCAAATAAAATATTTAAAAATATAATTACAAGTTGCATAAAATAAAAAAAAATAATAAAAATCTAATATAAACAATATATATAAAAATTATACTTGAGATATTGCTAGCATCAAGCAAAGAACTATTATTTGCAATATCAATTTGAGACTACGAACAACAAGAAGGTGCTACTGTTTGTAACTCCAAATTGTTGTTGCGAACAGTAGTTTGCTATTCGTAGTAACTTGTTGTTAAAAAAATGAAAAATATATATTACGAATATAAGAATAAAAATCAAAATATATAAGTATTTATATGAATATTATGAAACATATACTAAAATTTGACGATGAAAATTTTGCTTTGTTCATGTATTTAGGGTGAATTAGAGAAAGTTAGGGATATAAAATTCATAGAAAAAAATAAAAATCAATATAAACTAGCAATAATGAAGTAAAAATAATATTTGAATTTTTAGAGGAAGATTGTAAAGTTTAGGAAAGAGAAAAATTGGTAGAGTTTAAGTATGAGGAAAATATAGGATAATGAAGAAAAATAATTTTATTAAATTAAGATAGGTTTATAAAGTTTAAATATGGAGAAAAATAGAGTTTAAATAGAGAGAGAAAACATTCAAAGTTGTTAGAAAGAAAATTTTGAAATCTTGGGGTTGGTGGTTGGATTTCAACTATTTATATTTGAGAAGAAAAAGTCTACAAAAGTCCTAAAATTAAAAAGTCTACAAAAGTTCATAATTTTTTGAATACCACATGACTTTTAAAGACTCTCCAAAAGTCTTAATCGAATACCACACGACTTTTAAAGACTCTTTAAAAATCTTGATTGAATACCTCCCGACTTTTAAAAACCCTCTAAAAGTTTGAATTGAATACCTCTAAACTTTTAAAGTTAATAAAAGTCTTTAAAACTCTATGAAAGTCATGATTGGATACACCCCCTTAAAACCTTTCTTATTGAAATCATATAATTAAGGATAAATTTGAAAATGTCAAGGAAAAATTAAAATTTGAACAATCTAAATCATTCATTTAATTTAATAATTTGATGGACATTTTTTCTACTCATTATAGGCCTAACTTCTTTTGACTCTTATTAGTATAGTATATAGATATATGACAATTAAAATTTTTTTTTAAAAGAAAGATAATATATACTCCTCCTGTTGCATTTTGCCTATCCTGTTTACAACTCTTTATTTATTGTATATGTTCTTTAATAATTTTTAAATGTTTTTAAATTTAATTTTTTGTGTTTAATAGCATTTCTAATATAATTTTTAAATATATAAATTTTATAAAATAATAGTCTAATACTAAATATAATATAATATTACTAAAAATTAAATTAAAAATAATTCCAGTCACGTTTTCATTAACCGAACTACACATACAAAATGGTAGGAATGGTGTATCATTTATCAAGCTACTAGATATTAAAAAAAAAAAAAAAAAAAAAAAAAAAAAAAAAAAAAAGGTGAAAAGCTGATGATGGTAAATGATTAAACTATATTACATCATATATGTGGATTGATATGGCCAAGTTGAATTGAAGGAATCATCTGGCGAGCAGGGGGAACCAGCGTTCGCGAAAATCGGACTGATAGGAAATCATGAAGAGGAGGAGCACGAGCAGCAAGGCAACTCCCCAGGGGGTTCCGCCGGCGCGGTGGATGGAGTCCCTTTCCGGCAACGGGAAGAAGAACACCGACGACTTCTCCAGCGTGGAGAGGAGGTGAACTACCAGCAGAAGCAGCAATGGCGACACCATTAGAAGAAGCTTAATCTGCTCCATCATTCCCTCGAATATGGACTCGTAGTTGATGTACCATGTGATGCTTACGAACATGAAGAGTATTAGGAGGAAGAAGCAGAGGTGCAGTGATAATAATGGCGGCTGAGATGAAGAGTTATTGTAGCCATCTGCCATGTTTTAATTTCTCGATCTTCTCTGGTAAATGTTTGGATTTTGGAACTGGGATGGGATGTGTTAATGACTTAATGTTGAGTAGACATTTCTGCAATCTCTAGACCTCGCTTATATATATACTCACTAGTCACTATTGTCTATTGGAAACTATAACTAATCAATTATTTATTATAACAACTTCAGAGTCAACAATGCCTCCACTGAAGTTTGATCTCATGACCGAGGTCACTACATGCCATCTGAGCACAAGGTGATTGGCATAACAACTTTAATTTATTTATTCAATAATTGACTTTTTAGAAACTTAGTAGTCCCCATTAGGGGTGTAAACAAGCCGAGACGAGTTCGATAAGGCTCGAGCTTGAGCTTGATAAATAATAGGTAGGCTCGAGCGAGAAATTTGAAGTTCGAGCTCGGCTAGTTATGAAACGAGCTGGCTCGAGTTCGGCTCGAGCTCGAAATTGACCAAGCTAGAACCGAGCTTTGATCGAGCGGCTCGACAAGCCATGAGCCTAAAACATTTGAGCTCGAGCTCGAGCTCGAGCCGAGCTTTAACCGAGTGGCTCACGAGCTGCTCGGCTCATTTACACCCCTAATCACCGTCTCATTTTGTGTTTGATTAAATTAATGAGCCTTGACTGAACGCTTTTTTATTAAAAAAAAAAAAATTGAAATACTCAAGATTCTTTACAAATTAGTATATATTATATACTTTTTCAAACATTTTCAGCCTAAAAAAATCTAAGTCGAGATGTCATCACACTATAGTTGTAGTTAAAATACAAAAAGTAGGCGATGTCAAGCACATGTTACTATTCACTTGGGATTTTCAAATGATCACTTCAAAACATAATTAAAGATAACATTAGTCTGTTTTTATAATTCAAAACCTAATTTAACCATAGGTCTTTATACAACAAAGAGATTAGTGCAATTAAGCAAACCATTGAGGGTGTACACGTATCTTAGTAGTGAAGAATTGAGGTCAGCATTCAGCAAAACAAAGTGTTTAAAGCTGCTTTTGATGCATATGTGTATAAGATTCTTTTACTTTACGATGATCCATAAATATGCAAACAAACATAGAGTTTGGCCGGTGAGACTTTTCCATGTAACAGATCTATCATCTATAATATATATATAAATTAACAACCTGACACTTGTCACCGACCAGGGCCAGATCTTCCATACGCCCATTATTTTATTTCTTTAACTTTGCCTCCTTCTCCTCTCTCATAGGAAGAAACCAAACCAAAACAAACACCTAGAGATGGGTGTTTTTGTGTTTGATGTATAATAAGTTTATGGGAAATGATACATGAATTCTTAATTAAGTAAAATTTTTGATACATGTATAGATTTTATTGGCTAGAGAAAAATAAATAAATAAAAGTTCTGAGTATTTTTCAAAATGAATTAATTAGAGTATGTATGTCATTAAAAATTGGGGGATATTTGTATAATATTACTCTATGTTTACTAGTACATGTAGCATTCTTTCTTTTCCAAATTAAAAAGGATTTACCAAGGACCTTGTGGTTCAATGGTATCCGGTTGCTCCCTTAAGTGGGAGGTGATAGGTTCAAGCCTTAGTGGAGGTGATTAGTAGTTTGGGCGTCCCCCAACCCTTGTAACAAAATAAAAAATTAAAATGGATTTTCTATAAGATATTAGAGAGACATTTCCGTGTCAACCCACAAGATGAATAGATATTATATATAAATAATAAATTTGTGATCTAAATAGAAGTTTAGACTTTTAGTTAAAACATAATATTTTTTTAATGGTAATATTAAATGGATTATTAAAAAAAATTATATATTTAGAAACTATATCAAAATTTCTTAAATAGAAAAAAAAAAGAAATTTAATTTTAAAATTATAAAAAGAAACTATTAAATAAAATAAGTAAAAGAAGAAGGTTCTAATGATTAATCTGATGAATGAATATTAAATAGTATACACAAAATGTTGATGAATATTATTGGAGAAAGGTCCAGGGCGAACCGACCCGAGTAAGAAGGCCAAGTTGACCCGGGCCGAGAGCCAACCCCAATGCCCTGAAGCCAGCCTCAATAACCGGCCCTGAGGCCCCAAAGTCGAACTGGGAGGAGAGCTGACCCCGAAGCCCTAAAATCGACCTTCACAGTCGGCCTTGAGGCCATAAAGCTGACCTCTAAAGTCAGCCCCAATGCCGACCTCGCTGACCAGCCCCAAGGTCGACCACCGTGGCTTATCCCAAGGCCGACCTCCATAGCTGGCCCATAGGCCCCAATGCTGACCTATAGGGAAGGCCCTGAGGCCCTAAGGCTGGCCTTTGTGGTCGGCCACAACGCCTAAGATCGAACTTTGTACTTAGCCCCAAAGCCCCAAAGCCAACCCCTATGGTTAACTCGAGGCCCAAAAGTCGACTTTCGTAGCTGGCCCCCAAGCACCAAAGTTAACTCTCGTGGTTAGCCCTAAGGCCTCAAGCCCGACCTCAGTGGTCAGCCCCAGGCGCCCAAAGCTGGCCACATAGCCAGCCTCATCAATGCCCTAAGCCAACCTCAGTGGTAGGCCTCGAGGTTGGATACGAGTAAGCTTGCTGAGACTTGGTCAAAGGAGATGGTAACCGACCACCTATTTCACATGGGGCAATTACGGAGATGATTATAGTATAAATTAGCCACTTTGTCTTGTTATTACCGTACCTTGTCTTATCATCTTGCCCATTTTGTAATTTCTTTACAAACCATCTTAATATAAGGCACATTGTCTTCCGATGCTAATATATTGTCTTTACGTATTTTTCTTATATTTATATTCCTTTTAATTAATTGGTATTAGTTAATTCGGGTCCCTGAATATAAATTTCATCATTGGTGCTTTCATTACTTATTATGGAACTTGACAACATTACCTATTATGGAAAATGTAATACTTTTGATTGAAAATATAATACTTTTACATCAAAATGTAAAACAATTACATTTTTTACTCAAAAATATTACATTTTCCCTTATAAGTAACAAAAATTTTATTCCTGATTAGTATTACATTCAAGCATAAATATGATATTTGTATAGCAATTCAACCCAACCTATCTCACGAATAAAAATCCATGAGACGGTCTCAGAAAAGTGTGACTCTTAATTACTACAAAGATTGAATCTTGAATACATACTATGCTGGTCAAGACTTAAAGGGAAGATAGTGGGGCTCCACTGTCCTGCTATATAATCAACTTTCTTTAACTTTCTTTATAGAGGATTTGGCTACATGACGCGCAACTTGGACTAGCTTTTAAGTTGTACGTTATGTCACTACTATCAAGGATGTATATTGTACTAGTAATTCACCAGCACAAAAAAAAAATTATGCTATTATAAATATAAATACAAAATAGAAAAATTAAAATATTTTAAATTATTTAATATAATAATATTTTTGAGCTTCCATTGGTCAAGTATTTATTATTTTTATAGAATATAAAATTACAATTAAAATTAAAATTATAATTATAATTATAATTATAATTTTGTATGGTTAATATAATCTCTAATTATGTGCATATTCAAATAAACTTATAGAGATAATTTACATAATTACATCGATTTATTTTTAATTGTATTTCATCTATATTATAATTTTCACAATACAAATAATAACTAAGATAATTACATTTGGAAAGCAAATTTCAAATTTTGTATGTGTAAATTTAAACTCTAATTGAACACATTTTTTATATGATTATATAATATATAGCTATTTTATTTTTCAAAAGTATATTTTTTATATGATTATATAATATATAGCTATTTTATTTTTTTAAATGTTGTGCCTTTTTTTTTTTAATAATAAAGGATGTTGTGGCATTAATTATTACATTAATTATTTCTCAAACCATATAGCTTTATTATATAAAGGATGTGCTTTTTTTTTACCCTTTTTTTAAACCTTCGATTTGATGATTAATATCAAACATTTTCAACAACATAAAAATAAATAATCAAATAGATTATGTACTCAACAATCACTATTTCACCATTATTTCTAGTTAGAGCATGGACTATTTGGAACACCATCCCAAGGACCCAAGCAACTGTACAATGCTTGCTTCTTGGAGGGACTGGGAAATTCAATCAGAATAAAGCCCTTCTCCACCCATGGCTGTGTAAAAACCTGATTGAGCAAATATGTACAAACAGATGGGCAGTAAAATATAGAAATATATTTTATACACAAAACACAATTTTGTAAAAAGCAGGAATGAATAGAAAACTCCATACTCAATCAGAAAGCTAAAAAAAACAGAACTGATCAAGCAGACAAAAGTTTGCAGAAACTAGGTTTGTTGGGTGTTTAGGAGTAAACACCCTCCAAAAATTGGAGTATGCCATTCATTGTAACGAACACACGGTATTCTTTAGTAAAAGGCGAAAGAATAGTTCGCTTTGTGTTCATCACATGGCTGCTTGGGTTTGTTGGAAGATTCTGTACTTGGATTTATAAGAGTCCTGGCCACTAATGTTTCTGTTGTTTGTTCGATGTGGGACTGGTAACGTGTTTGTTCGCACTGTATTCATCACATATCAATACGCATTTCTCCTTCAGCTCCCTTATATAAAACATATCCACAATGAAACACAGCAAATCAAGGATGTATTTGGAATTGACTGGAAAATTCAGCATGGATTTACCAGGAACTACAATTTCCACCTCACACACTTTTGTTTTTTTTTTTTTTTCTGAAAGGATAGGACGAAGTGCATTAATAATCAACACGAAATACAGGTAGGTAGAACAGAATATCACAATCTCGGGACAAACAAAAAATCAAAATATCAGATGCCTGTACTAACACATGAACTACATAATTCGCTGACCTATTGACATGATTTACAAACTTAAAAACATTGAAATTGAAATTAATTTTTTAAAATTAAACCATTAAAACTAGATTTGTTGGGCTTCTCCCTAAGGAGAAACACCCTCAAAAAATTGGAGTATGCCATTCATTGCAATGCACACACGGTATTCTTTAGTAAAAGGCGAAAGAATAGTTCGCTCTGTGTTCACTGCATGGCTGCTTGA